ATTATATTACTGTGTTCACAGTAATATAATTGTGGATTTTTCTTGAGAAAATCTGTCATTTATCTGGACTAACAGAATGGTTCAGACTGATTACTTAAACAGAAATGTTAATTAATCATYATAAATGTTTTGCAGTGATTTCTCTTAGAGTCTATCAGAAGAAAAGCTGAACAGAAATGTTATCATATTCTGTTGTTGAACAACTACAGAATTTAACCTTGACTGGCACCTGGCTGGGAAGTCTTTATCTTTCTTCCTTTCTCTGACTCATCTTACGCCTGAGGGCGGAACCAAAGTCTCAGTTTCTATTACTAACACAGACGCCTTTGAGTGACACACTCTTCTTCCTGATGCCAACTGGGAAGAAAGCTGAGTTTCTCTCTCGGGAGAGACTTAGCTRGCTTTTAGGCCTTAGCCCGTGAGCTAACTAGGGGAGATCTAACAGCCAGGACAGCGGCACACCAGCCGGATTTCCCACCCGAGGCTTCTCGCCTCCAAGTGGGTTTTAACTCCCGAGGGGAGATTTTATTTTGAAAGAAGGCACCGKATGTACAGCTTGAATCTTTATGGTTTGGACTGAAACAGACGAAAAGTTACCTGAAATAACACCTTTCTCTCCAAGGGACAGTGAGCGAGCCGATTTAAAAAGTTCCCTGACTGATCGGAGGTGAGGCAGTTCCTACCCAGGGGTTGCTTAAGAAGCCATCACCAGGTAAAACTGACGAGTTCCGGGTGACGTGTCATGTGGAAACTGAGTGCAGAAGGGACGTGCTGATCCGGTTGACCACACTTGATAAAGTAAAATTAGTATAATACTAACCTTACTTTCATCCTTTTCTTGTTCTTAATTTGCCAAAACTTAAGCTGAAAGTGCCAGTAAAATAGTTTGGTTGAAACATCAGAACTGACGTTTTACTGTTCTGTATAAGTAATCTGAGTTGATGTGAATCAAATTTCGGACGCGAGTTTTATCTCATTTAACTTTGGAGCTTGTTATAGGAACAACCACAATCAGGTGTACTTATGATTTGTTCAATTTGTGTAAATAAATGATTGCATATTCTTTATGAATCAACTTGAACTCGTCTGAACGTCCACTTATTGTGTCACTTTCACTTCGCACAGTCAAGATATTAAAAGTAATGAGAAAATACCTTGGTAAAACTTTCCTCATGCTATATGTATGAGAGATGCAGAAAAAGCTTAATTCACCTTAAGCCCCCTACACTACCTTGGGACAATTCAAATTTTAAAATTTAAACGACAGAGAACGCAGATCACTTGGCCCCTGTAAATGTCCTCAAGTGTAATTATGTGATGTCTGTTAGTTTTGTAATTTTAATTAATTTGTTGTATTTATTTATTTATTTATTTATTTATTTATTTATTTATTTATTTAGCTGCTGTCTTGGCCAGGTCACACTTGGAAAAGATTTAAATCTCAATGAGTTAATTTCTTGATTAAATAAAGGATACTACAACTCCTGGCAAAAAGTATGGAATCACCAGTCTTGGMTGAGCACTCATTCACACATTTCATTCTGTATAACAAACTCAGATCAAAAATATGATACAATAAGGTTTTTCCAACGTGCAACTTGTTGGCTTTCAGGAACACTCAAAGAAATGAAGAGAAAACATTGTGGAAGTCAGTGAATGTTACTTTTATTGACCAAGCACTGGGAAAAAAATATGGAATCACTCAATTCTGAGGAAAAAAGTATGGAATCACTCAAATTGGAGGTAGAAAATAAGGACACACCCAGTCAATTTCCTTTCCCTAAATGAACACCTGCCTCAGATTAGATCTGCTCGTTAGTCTGCAGTTAAAAACGCCTGCAGTCATGACACCTTGGAGGGCTGCTGGACGAAGTGGAGTGGCAAGAACCATGGCTCCAACAAGAGAAATGTCTCTTGAAACAAAAGAGAAGGTAATTCTTCATGCATGGTTGCTAAAGATGTGGGCTGTTCACAGTCAGCTGTATCCAAGATATGAACCAAATACAAACAGCATGGAATGGTTGTTAAAGCCAAGCGTACTGGTAGACCAAGAAAGACATCAAAGCATCAAGATGAACAACTTAAGGCTATTTGTCTTGAAAACCTAAAAAGTACAACTAAGCAGATGAAGCATAAATGGGAGGAAGCTGGAGCCAATATATATGACCGAACCATAAAAAGTCGCCTAAAGGAAATGAGATTTCAATACAGGAAAGCTAAAAGAAAACCATCATTGACACCTAAACAAAAAAGAACAAGACTGCAATGGGCTAAGGAGAGGCAATCATGGACTGTGGATGACTGGATGAAAGTTATCTTCAGTGATGMGTCAAGAATCTGCATTGGACAAGGTGATGATGCTGTAACTTTTGTTTGATGCCGTTCCAGTGAGATTTATGAAGAGGACTGCCTGAAGAAAAYAACCAAATTTCCACAGTCCTTGATGATATGGGGCTGCATGTCAGAGAGGGAGATGACTGTGGTTAATTCTTCTATCAATGCACAAGTTTACATTGACGTTTTGGACATTTTTCTCATCCCTTCAGTTGAACAGATGTTTGGAGGTGATGAAATAATTTTCCAAGATGACAATGCATAGTGCCATAGGGCAAAAACAGTGAAGGCATTCCTTGGAGAAAGACACATTCAGTAGATGTCATGGCCTGCAAATAGTCCAGATCTCAACCCAATTGAAAACCTGTGATGGAAATTGAAAAAAAAAAGGTCCACAAGAAGGCTCCGACCTGCAAAGCTGATCTGGCAACTGCTATCAAAGAGAATTGGCACCAAATGGATGAAGAATACTGTTTGTCACTCATCAAGTCCATGCCTCAGAGACTGCAAGCCATTATAAAAGCCAAAGGTGGTGCAACTAAATAYTAGTGATGTATTTTGAATGGTCTTTTGTTTATCTGTTTTTCATGATTCCATAATTTTTTCCTCAGAATTGAGTGATTCCATATATTTTCCCTGTGCTTGGTCAATAAAAGTACCATTCACTGACTTCCACAATGTTTTCCCTTCACTTCTTTGAGTGTTCCTGAAAGCCAACAAGTTGCACTTTGGAATGACCTTATTATTGTATCATGTTTTTGATCTGAGTTTGTTTTACAGAATGAAATGTGTGAATGAGTGCTCATCCAAGACTGGTGATTCCATACTTTTTGCCAGGGGTTGTACTTCAGTCCCACCTTCCATCATCTTTCTCTACTTCTGAATTCCAGTGTCTAACAAGCTAAACAGTAAATTTTCACTTTTTTTACGTCTATAAGAAGAGATTCATTTTTTATGTGGCTCTGGATCTGTCATTCCTGCAGGGATAGTGGCTTCTTATAAAGTGGAAACCCAGCAGCATCTACATTTTAAAATGATCAATTCGAGAAAATCAAAGCCTCTTTAGATAAAACACCAAGACACAAAACAAACAGACTCATATTTATTGAGTGTAACAGAGTTTGCTCTGCAGCAGACGGAGGATGTTAGAAACTAATCAGATAATCAGATGTTTGTTTCAGTGAATGCGCTTCATGAGCCAGGGGAAGTGTCCGGTTCGCTGCATGCCAAACGTGCTGATGAAGCAGTTGAGGACTGTGGTGAGGAAGACTATGATGGTTGTTACGTTGTTCAGATAGTCCAGGCGATTTTGCAGAGCCGAGTTGTTCAGGTTCCGTCGGCCTGCGTCACACAAACACATGCGTACAACACAATGAAAACGATTAACGAGTAAACCCTGTTTTTTTTTTTGGTTTGGGCAGGCTGCATTCCAATTAGATTAAAAAATTATTTAACAAAAAGGAAAAAAAATATATTTTTAATTTAGTGAAAACTCACAACACCAGTTTCTGTTAAATCCATTTATTCAGCTCTCTCCACACATCCACCCTGATTTTTGTCTGACAGGAAACATCAAAAACATTTTTAATGTCAATTAAAGAAAACACTTGAACAGAACACACAGAAAACTCGTATAAAAGTCTAAAACAGTGGAAAAAAACACAAATCTTACACAAACATATTAAGACTTTTTAAACTTTCTCTTTTCCTTTGACAGTGGATTAAAGTGTGGATTAGTTGGATATTATTGAACCACTTTACACAATATTTAAAGTGCCTGTGACATGAAATTTTAAAAATAAATATAAAGGCATTATTGGAAAGACAACGTTATTAGCATATTGCAAAAATAATTTCCTGCTGCTGGGATGAACAGTTGTTGAGATATTTGCATGTGAAGCAACAGGAAGTGATGTCAAAGGGGAATATCTGCATGGAACAAAGCATTGATAAAATAGCTAACGACACAGATTGTAGAGAATAATCTGATGTTTCTTCAGATTATTTTGAGTCACTGTCAGAGAGATGAGAACGAGTCAGAGTTCAAATAATATTGTTTCAATAAACAAAGACCAGAGAGTTCTCTTTCTTAAAAAAGTTCCCCTTTGATGTCACTTCCTGTTGCACTTTGGATGAGCCCGGTTCAAAAGAAAAATATGTCATTTATGTGACAACATGGGTAAAATCACATGTTTTATGCAAGGTTTCTTAAATAAAATGTGTTTTCTTTTTGTATTTGATGGACAGATGTGTCACAAGCACTTTAAAATCTAATGTTTGAGTGTGGATTGTTTGGAGTTTTGTGGATGTGAAACGCGTCTGCAGGGATCAGAAGTGGAGTCTCGCCAGCAGCCAGCGGAAGAAGCCGGTCCGCTTGGACCCAAAGAAGCTGACGAAGAAGTTGACCACGGTGGTGACGAAGATGACTCCCGTGGTGACGTTGTTCAGGTAGTCGAGTCGCCTCTGATTGGACACCACGTTCAGGTCCCTGCGGGCTACAACACACACACACRCACACACATGCACAAACACACAGTTTCAAATATTTCCAACACACGTACAGTTCACACATGGTGGCACGCTCACAGCTAACATGCAGAAAGATAAAACTCATTCACACCCTCCATTCYTTTTTTCTGTGTCACATGTTATACTTGGACTGGACTTTAAACTGAACCTAAATGAAGTATGCATGTCTGTTAGCAAAATATCTCCTGAACCACTTGATGGATTTTGATAAAACTCTATCAAAACAGTCWCTAAAGGCACATCTGCAATTGTTTCAATTTTGGAGTCAGTCCGATTCAAAATGGCCACAGAACATGCTCAAACTTAGCAACAACAAAAAAGGCTACAACTCAATCAGTTTTATATATTTTGAACTCAGATTTGTGGCGTCAGTAGCTGAGAGTCATTCCCAACACAYATTCCAAGCACAGCTATTGGGTGACATATTTTCTTAACGTTATGACATCTATAGTCCTCCCTCTCTRTCTGTTGGCAAAATATCTTATGAACCGGAGGACGTATTTTAATGAAACACTCAGAAAGAAATCAATGAATCTGCAACTATGACTGATTAAGTTTTGGAGACAATCCGATTCAAGATAGCCACCAAAGCTAATCAATCTTAGCAAACACAAAAATGACTCTAACTCTGTAAATTTTAACATTTTTGAGCTCAAATTTGGTTTGGTAGTAGCTTAGAGTCATCCTAACACCTTGTAATAGAGAGCTAGCTGATCGAGCTAAGACTTTGTTTAAAATTTGAGCATACTGCTATTAGTTTTGCTGCATAATTTGTCTACTTTTGTGTTTAGCAAAAACTTAAAACTCATATTTTCCACGTTACGTTTGATTTAATTAACTTTAAAATGAAATATCTGTGAGCAAAAATTTGTCTTCAGCTGATAAACATTAATGATCCAAACAGAAGATAGCTGTTTACAGTTGATAAAAAAATAGCTTATTGGGAAAAGGTTTGTGCCACAGAGAAGAGAAGCTGTTGTGGGAGTAGAAAGCTGCAGGTTCGATTCCCTGCCATGCCCACATGTCGTGGTGTTTTGAGTGAGACCCCAACCGTTCCCCTAAATAGATAAAAGTAAATAACTTAAAGTCATTTTGTACTTTAGGTCGAATTGACCTAAATGAGCCTGAGGCCTCCGTTTTAGGCCTCAAAGGTCAGCCGTTAGCATAGTGGCTAGCTAAATTAGCTAAACACTAATTTAATAGGTTAATTCTGAAAAAAACATCTAAAATAAGCTCAGCTATGTTAAACTTGTTTATAAAAACAGAGAGCGGTGGTTTTCTGAAGTTTAAAATGAACATGCATCTTATTTTCACACCTAGCTAGAAAGCTAGCATCCTAAATTAGCATCTTCTATCTGTTTGCGTGTTGATGCGTCATTCAGTGAGCTTCTTCAGAAGTGTTTCTCTGCTTCATCACACCTGGTGTGAACGGCTGAACTCGAGGACACGCAGACAAACATGTGTCTGCCTGAGGCGCGTTTCTCATAAAACGAAGCGCTGAAACAGCCACCGCAGCAGGCAGCTGCGTTGTGTGCCGAAGGCCGCTTTGACCACGTTCACAACGAGAGTGAGGAAGACGAGGCCGGTGAGCAGATTGTTCAGGAAGTTTAGGCACCGTCGACACGAGGGGAGGAGGGTCAGCTCAAAACGAGCTGTGCGCACCACACACACGCACACACATTCACACACACACAGAGACAACAAAGCAGAAACACAAACAGCTCGTTGGTCCTTTGGTTCATCTCGATCGTTCTGACAAATCTAAACCCACCAGAGTGTTAGAAACAATAAGTTATTCACTCTGAGTTATACACGTGCACACGCAGGATTTAGAAGAGATTAGACAAAAACAAACGTCAGAAGTGCATCCTGGCGAAGAGGCCGGTGCGTTCCATCCCAAGCACGGTGATGAAGATGTTGGTGATGAAAATGACGAAGATAACGACGGTCGTGTGGTTGTTCAAGCTGTCCAGGCRCTTCTGGTCGGCCTCTACGGTGATGTCTCTCCGGGCTGCAGCACAGGGACGAAAACAAGGACGAAATGCACAAAAACACATGCAGACAAATACATTTTTACTCCCGTTATGGACCGTCTGCGCCYGTCCCAATAAAACCAGCAGGGTTAGCGAGTGAGTGTGTTAATATGGTGAGTTCTGAAACAAGAGCTGAGTGATTTTTCTAATTAATGCTCACCGATGATGATGATCAGGACACCGGCCACTATCTGAAGAGCCAGGGAGAAGGAAATGAGCGTCAGGACGGCAGCGTAGTACCTGACRATCAAAAGACAGAAATTGGATTGAAAACAAAATTAATAATGTGAAAACAAAAATTGGAAAATTAATTATGATATCTAACTCACAAATAGTCTATCTACCTGTATCCAGCTCCCTGTTCGATGACCGTCTTCATGTGTGTGATGTTGGCCAGGAACAGAGCGATGTCCAGCATGCCTTCAGCTGCTGTCTTCTTGGTGGCGTACAGGTTCATGTTCAAGTTGGAGGCTGAAGCCACCTGAAACACAAACACATATAAATATATTGTTTTTATAAAGTCCATCCATCCATTTATTTATTCATGCAATATGCCTTTGGTCTCCTTAAAACAAAACCACTGAAAAGTCCAGTTCACATGACTGGATGCAACACTTTATGGTTTTAATGCAGTGTTATTTAAAGTGAAAGCCGCCAGGGGGCGCTAGTGGGACCTCAGAAAGTTAGTAGGAAGATGAGAAAAAAATTAAATCTACTAAATGTTTTAAATCATTATCATAAAATCCAATTTTTTAAAATCATTTTTAAAACATATTATTTATAATAATAAATTGAAATGTTATTTAGCATAGCCTAAGAGAGGTTAAATTACTTTTCCCGTTCTTATCGTCAATAGATTGTTGAAAAGTTGTTTTTTAGTAAGAGTGTGTTAGTGTTTAAAACATTAATTAATAAAAATTCTGATGCTAAACAAATTAAATAACTAGTGAGAAAACACTAAAATTTGTCGTTTCTTTACATATTTTGCAGAAATGTTTGCAGGTTTGCAAGGGAGAAGACATGGAAAAGTTTGGGAAGCCCTTCTTTAATGCAGAGAATTGTCATGATTTAAAAATAAAATCTCTTCTAAATGACCAGCAAAAGAAAATATATGGTAGAATTTTAAAAAATTAAAAGCAGAACAAAGTAAATAAAACAATTTACCACTTGTCAGAAATGGACACAGAAATTGTTGTTATAAAAC